CCTGTCCTCATCACCACCCACACCTGTGTTAATGGAGCAATCACTGAAACCATGTTAGCTGGTCCTTTTAAGGCAGGGCTGCAATTATGCTGAAATGTGTTTTGGGGGATAACGTTCATTCTGGAGTATATGCAAAATGCCGTTATAAAAACTGAAGCAGTATACTTTGTAAATATTAACATTTGAAACATTCTCAAAACTTTTGGCCATGACTGTAGTTATTACACAAAGCAATAATATTCAACAGGTTGTTAATTTAAATCTAAGGCCTTAGGTCACATTACAACACAGAGCTGTTTGTCATTTAATACAGTGTTAAAATGCACATTTAGGGGACATCTATTTCACTGTTTTACATAATTGAAAATTAAACTTCAATTGCTTTATAAAGTTTAAATCTAAATAAATTTTTATTTTCTTTAAAAACAATGGATCCAATAGGATCCCTACTTTATTTTATCATTCTGCTTCATTCTATATCTATTCTCCTATTCTGCAGAATCTGTTAGTTCAATCTCTAATGTTCTGCTTTCTCTGCTTTTTCTCATATTAGCTTTACATCCTCAGTTCCTATTTGGCTGTGACTCCATCCTGTTTCTCTGACTGTGACTGGCTGGATGTGCTCTCTTCGTCCTCTGGCATGGGAGCTGGCTCGGAGCTCGTCTGCCTGGCTGAGTGTTTTCTGGAAGGGGCCGCCTTTTACAGCTGCTTTTTGTATGCCTGCTTCCGTCTCCTTGAACCCCAGTCTGCCTCAGCAAATAGCCGCTCACACTGAGCCTGGTTCTGCTGGAGGTTTCTTCCTGTTAAAAGAAGTTTTTCCTCTCCACTGTTGCTAGAAGCATGCTTAGTGTGAGGGATTGCTGAAGAGTCAATGAGTCGATGCAATCAACTGGTTTTCCTTAGACAACTTTGAATCAATGACAACTTTGAATCAATCTAACTGGATGATCTGGTGAATTGAAAAGTGTATTGAGATTACATGTGATGTGAATTGGAGCTATAGAAACAAACTGAATTGAATTGGATATCATAGGGCCAAGAAAAAAAGTAAAATATCTTAAACTAATCTGCCTTTAGTTTTATAAGAGTAAGGCAAGATAAGTTTTAAGGTTTTTTTTTCTTCAGTTAGATGGTAAATGAAACAGGAGATGGTTTAGCATTATAGAGAAACTATTAGGACATTTAGAAAGGTTACGACGAGGAACAACTAAATTGATAGTTAATAATAGTTAATAACCTGAAAAATCCAACATCTATGAAGGTCAGAACATTTTTATATGGGAGGAGATTTAAACAGATAAGAAGTTTAAAACATCAAACAGTCTAACTAGTATTATAAACTATGGACTGTGAAAAAGACAAAATGGTAGCTTGCTATGGAGTCAGCGATATATCAATATCCAACATTGATTTGTACAGGAATTGCTGTTATCTTCAGCCCGAAGAGATGAAACTGTTTAACAAAAACAGCAACATGGCGATCAACTACTGTAATAAAAAAGCAACATAAAATAATTTAAAACAGGCGGATCGTTGGCCTTTACCTTTTAGGAAAACCGGATCTAAACTTTTAAAAACACCCAGAATCGGTACCGGGAATGTTATTATGGCGTTTTAGGCTTACTATAAAACTACTTTTCTACTTTAATTTAAAGAGCAATCGCTAAATTAAGCATTACTAATCCATCCACAAACTAAAACAAACAAAAACAAAGACTGAGTCCAGCTCGGACCTAAAGGAGGAAACACTAGAAGTGAGCCAGACAGTCGGAACAACACGGAGCTAGTTTCGGTAGCAACGGAATGATACGCACCAAAAATCACTTAGCAAGTTAGTTGGTTATCCTGGATTTTAGGTATCAGTTCAAACCACCATTTGACGTCATTCGGCACCTTTTAACCTTCTCCTCGATCATAAATTGGTCTCTTCACCAACTTCCAGGTTCACAAATTACCCTATTTACCTGCTAACATCACTTTAGCTAGCTAGTTAGCTTTTAAAGTTCCAGTCTGCAACAAGTTTTCCATCAAGGGTAACTACGCTTCCGGGAAAGGAATTCAATTTAAAATAATAAAACGGAAGTCCAATGTTTAGACGTTTATTTTGAAATCCTGAAACGGAACTTCTGCTTTCATTTCAGCTAGCTGCAAGAGCTGAAGTTCTTTAGGCAAACAGCTAAGTGAAAGTTAGCTAGTAAACGTTAGCTAGTTAGTCAAAAGCCAAACATGACACAGGAAAGCAGTAGAGTTTTACTTTATTTAGACAGTGAACGCGTGTTGAAGTCCGGGAAACTGACACAAACCGCCTCAATAGAGTATCTACGTGGTCAGTCTTTGTTCGCTTACCTTGATCGAAGGTGCGGTAGCTGCTCGGGCTCTTGTTCTGCTAATGATGGGGGCGGTGATCGCCCTGTCTTTGAACTCAGTAGGACACCTAGCGGCTCCAACCTGTCCTCACATGTTCAGACCTTCAGCCAACCAAACAGGTTACAGAACAAAGGACAGAAGTAAAATCAGTTCAGTAAATAACTTTAACTCTGCTGCATCACATGTTTGATAAATGTTTTAGATACTTAGTTCATTTATCATACCATCCAAAATATTTAAACAAATAAATGCCCTTTTTTTTCCAGAAACGCATAAAAAAGTATCACTTTATTATCATTAGATTCCAGATTTTAATCAAACTGAACAGCTTTATATGGAGCGCCAACACTGACATGATTAAAAATAAGTACAGAAATAAATTCATGCTCAATTAATACAATTAAAAATGTTAAATATAATACATTTATTAATATATTTCAATTTGCTCATTTTATTTATTCACCTTTATAATAATCACCCTATTTGTTTAATGTCATATTTTTCAGCTTTAATATTTAATTTTTATACGAATTTATTTCTGTGTACGCTTTAATGTTGTCTGTTTATTTTTTTTATGTCTGATTTTTACGCTGTTCAGACAAAAATGCTGTGCTCTCTTGGTTTGTTACTGTTGTTCTAGAATCACGCAAATGGACTCAAAAATAACAAGGTGTGCATTTCATATAAAAACAATAAAGTAACCTCAAACCTGTTAAAAGTTAAGCCCAATAAACTTTTATTTTAGTTTGAATGTTTATTTACGCATATTTCAGAAATTATGAAAACTTTTCAAAAATCTTTCCTCATCATACACTAGCTTGTTAGTGCTGTCCTTTTGTCTTATGCTGCAATCATTTAAAAACAACAATATTAATATATTAAACATTTCTTCAAATAATTGCATTTTCCTTTAGTTTGAAGCAGGTAAATGAGATGCTTTGCCTATAGAGCCAGTATTTTTGCCCTTAAAATAAAACAGATATTACACATTTAATAATGCCTTTTGCACCATGTTTCTTCTCACACACTGTTTACATTCTATCACTGCTGCATTTTATGAATGGGAAATGTTCATTTCACTGCTAAGCTGCTGCTCATTTACTGTGTGAAAGCTGTATAAATTAAATTTCCTTTTGTATACACTCGATGTATACAAAATGACAATAAAAGTTGCCTAGTTAATGTATAATATTGATGTGTTTTTCCTATTTTAATCATAAACAATCCTCTTCGACTGGCAAGTTGTCATTCTTAGATGCTCAAAACTTGGTAAACCGATTATTTCAAGAAAAAAATGACTTCCATATATCTAATTTTTTTCAGTGTAGCGCTGGTGGCTTCCAAGCTGTGGATGTAGTTATTACCCCACTGCACAAACATGGCCTATTTTTAAGAAAATAATACATTCTTCTTTCAATTGATATAACAGATATTTTCAAAAAATAAATAAATAAAAAATAGGTGAATAAAATAAGTTTTTAATGATATTTAAATAGGTCCACCACTATGTTGTGGAGCTGGTTACCAGAGTTTATTGCTGTCACAGGCATGGAGCAGCTCAACACTGGTAGGGAGTTTTCATGATAACAGGAGGTTTCAAAACCTATTTGACTGAATTACTAAAAGACAAAAACATTAATATTTTTATGAAAATTGAAAGTAAGATTAACAGGAAAAATTGGAACAAAGTTATTTTGAGACGGATTTTCTATTATTAAATAGTTCTTTAATGACTAGGTTTCTGCAAAGGAAATAAAGCACAAACAAAAACTATTAATTCTACCAATATTCTATATTTTCAAAAATGGTTAAATTCTACCATTAGGTGACCTGCTTTATCTGCAGGTTGTTTACCTGATTTACATTAGCATAATATCCAACAATCTATTCATCTGTTCAGATAAATATAGATCTATATAAATTGTGAACAATGAATTTAAAAGAGGCTAAATGTAGTTGATTTAATGCGATGCTCTGTAATTAGCAGAGCAGCGTGACTAGATTCGATCTTTTCTGAGCAGCTTTTGATTGTCTACCCTTTAAGCATAATTTTTCAAATATTTTTTCATGACTGAAGTTTAAGCTTGGATTTACATCACTGTATATTTCAATAATTGCCTGATTTTATTTATTTATTTTTTTGCTTTGAATAGAAAAGCATAGTTTAAGCGACAAATTAAAAGAAACTAATAATGATAAATGTCAGTTTGAAGTAGCCCTGTGTAGAAGTGGTGATCCATCCCAGCTTAGTGACGCCATCTTCAAACAGCTGAACAGGCCAAAGAGCTGGAGAGTGATGGAAGATCAACTTTATAACATTTTTGGGTTGATTGCAAACATAATGCAGGTAAAACTCATATCCTAAACTAGATTTTAAACATTGTGATTAGGATTAGTATTACTATTAAGAACCTACTAACACTTTCAAAAAGCTTTTTTTTTTTTTAAATCATGATGCTGAAACACCCCGTTTATGGCGAAGTCTTTGATCCAATAAAAAGCTCCAGGACCCAAAACTGAAAACAAATTGTGTCATTTCCAGGCTCACCACTAGAGGGCGTCTGTAGACCATGGATGATGAGTTTTCTTGTTTAATTCTACTTGATTTAAATCTCTTTTCAATTTAGTTCAAAACAATCTTACTTTTAAGTTGAATTTATTGGTTTAAGAATCGTATTCAGATCTCTTAAATGATAAAAAAAAAACTTAAAAGTTTTCTAAACAAATTACATTTGTTGTGATGCATTATATTTAAAGTAAAAGTCTGGTCATATTCAGAATACAAACTTCTGAAAGTACTTTAAATATGAAATTATTACATACTGTTCAATAAATGCTCAGTGTTTTTAATTAAGAGTAATTTTTATGTGAATGTGCTTTACTGGAGGTTTGTGACGTCACGGTGCGGTATCGGCTGTTGATCAAGTCCCAGTGCTGTATCTGGTGTTTGTCACAACGCGCTATTATCCAAGTCATCTTGAAAACATT